TTTTTTTTTTTTTTTTTTTTTTTTTTATATCAGCTCAAAATCAATTTAGAACCAACAAAACTGAATTAGCACATAAGATTAAAGTTGAAGCTTATTAAGGAAGTGGTTCGTAAAATTTATTGTTGAAAAGACCAGCTCCTTTTGTTTTTTATTAAAAAAATGTTACAGTCGGTTTTAGTTTTCAAAATTTAACTATGATTTTAAAACAATTTTGAAAGAATATTTATTAAAAAGATATAATAAATAAGTATACTTTTCTAAAAAAGACAAATGACTTTGTAAGTACTTTTCTAAGCCCTTATTGGACTAACTGAAAGTACACTTTTCATTCCTGAATTTTGGATTATTTCATTTTGGTATGTAGTTCTGTATTGGTTGTTCCGTCTAGTTTTTCCGTTAAACAAAATTGATGTAATTTTTTATTATAAATATTATATTTTAATTCCTCAAAATAAATACATTTTAAATTGTTTAAAAAAATACGTTTTAAAATTTTCAAAATAAAATATTTTCAAGTTTTTAAAAATTAAAGTCTTTTTTCTTTTTTAGCCGACAGTCTCTTTTTTGGCGGCATCGGGAGGGAGAAAAAGAAAATACCATTATGTTTTGTTTTTGAAAAGAGTTATTGGGACCAAAAAAATTGTTCACTCTATCCTAATTTTAAAGGCTAAAATATAAAATTTTAAAATTTTAGAATTGAAATGCAAACTAAGAACCTTAAGAACAAAAGGAGAGAGTCCCTGTGATTGCATTATCTAATTATTATCTAAATAAACAAAACTATTATATTTCAGGGAGACGATATATGAAATGCAACTAGCACATGAAAGAGGAGAAAGTCCAGTTCAGGCGGCCATAGTTGTGCGTTCGCAGCTGTCGGGAACACAGGCCAAGACGTCTCTGTAGTCTCTTGAAATGGTAAAGGAATCATACACCTTACCGTCGCTGCTTTTCTTGTACTCGAAAAGCAGAGAATGACGGTCGAATGCCGTCAACTTTACGAAACCAAAATCGTAGTCTCTGTACAGACTCCATTTGGGGATTTCCTTGGTGAATGCGGATAAGTGGCTCCCTGCTCCGCCCGCAACCACGTGGATTGTGCCATTCATAGTGCCCGAATAGTGACTTTTTTCTTCATTCACGCATTGATTCTACACGAGCACCATGAAAACATAATGGCAAACAAAGTTTAGAATAAAGGCATGATATGGATTTTCCTTAAAAAAATTTGCTATTGACTCATGTTCATCCATATTCTTGTACCCCTCTTTAAAAAAATGTCTACATCTAACCACAATTCTTTTTTATTATTAAAAGATGTAGATTTTTAAAATAATGACGCTGTCCGATGGGGGGTTTGTCTTGGACATTCTACTTTTAGAATTCATAGTTAGTTATTTATAAACTAATTTCTGAGTATTTTAATATATTATCAATTTTAAAAATCATAGCAAATTTAAAAAATTCGCTAAAGTAGCTTTCAGAAATTCTATCTTTGGTTTCTAAACTAGGCCAAGTTCTTTATTATTTTTAAACTACGAAAACATACTTCATTACTCTTACCGAAAATATAATTTATCAAGATGTCCAAAAGATAATTTGGTTAGGCATTCTTTTGAAGTTTTTCATTTCTGCAAATTATATTCATTTACTGGCATGTTCTTTGTTTTCTAATTTTCTTTCAGAATCCTTTTTGAAACCATAGCAAAAAAGAAATTAAAATCTCAAACTTCCGTTTTGAAAAGGAAAGCATTGATATAACTTGTTTCTTTCACTAAAAAAAAAAATCGATGCTTTTTTTTTTTTTTTTGTCGAAAATAAGATTGGATTTTATAAGTTCACGGAAGTTTGAAATCTTAAAAACAGACCGAGTAAAAATAAACTTCTTAGAAATTTGACCCGGATTCAAAAATTTTTTAAAAAATAGATTAGGAAAAGTGGTTTACCTGATAAATTGGGCATGTTCTTTCGTAGTTGTGGACATGGCCATAGAAGGCAATATCAACCCTGTACTTCTGCCAGAGTTTCTGTAGGCTTTCCCTTCCCATGGGTTCTTCGTATGATCCCTCCAACGCATACCAATCGTTGGAAGAGTAGCCAAGCACACGATGAGCAGCAAATATCAACCAAGGTTGTCTTCGTCTATCCGCTGATGCAAGGCAATGCTCTATGAATCTGTACTGTTCTGAGCCTTCTCGCCAGTCATGTTCAGAGTCTACTATACAGAACCGGAATAACCCATAATCTGTCTTATACCTGAAACCATTTATACATCATGTATGAAATGCTCCACAAATTGTATTGAGATATTCAATAAAAAGCGGAAAATATAGTAAAATATTCTTTCAGCATGATAGTTTAATAAATAGTGCTGAAATTATCTGTGTTTTTCATCCGGAAAAAAATGTTGAAACTGTCTATTCAACAGACAAATCACATGTATAACGAACATGTTTCATTATTTATTTTTTGGTCTAAATTTATGACAAGAAATGTCAGTTAATATTATTGTTAGATCATGTTTGTTTTTTTAGAAGAGACAATTTAACGAATCTAAAGCCAGTGAACAGTTTATTTGTGAAACAACTTATAAAACCCAGCATTGCAATAGATCCATGAAATTGCAAAAGAATTCGTGGCTTACCAGAACTTTGCTCTGTTTTCGGCAGGAAAATAAAACATGGTCTCCGCTGGAACTCCACACTCCCCACCCGAATCCATGTTTGCATAGAAAGACCCGGTATTCGGCCAGTCACGCTCATGGTTACCACTGCAGGAGTGAAATTGGAGACCGTTAAGATTATCAAAGTAGATGGTAAAAAATCATTCGCTTGGAAAAAAATCGAGTTATTGATATTGATAACCTTGCAACCATGTAAGGGACCCTAGATGCAATGGGCTCCACCTGCGCAGTGAATTGGTCCCACTGTGAGAGATACCCATTTGCATAAGATAGGTCTCCGATATGAAAGACAATGTCAATGTTGTCCAAGTCTTTGATGAGCTGGTCAGTGGTGTTCAATGCTCCGGGTTGATAGTTGCTGTACTCATTTGAGCCATCTCGTTGTCCCTGAAAGTCAGAAAAACTTTTTTCAGTGTCTTGTTCGACAAAAGCTTATTTTTGTAAGATTACCATAAACAAAATTTGAGCAACTCCGAGAAATTTGATGTGGAAAGAGCTGCATTTGAATTCTAAGTTCTAGCCGAGTTTGGATGATAATTCTGTTATATCTTTTTTACAGTTACCTGTGAAACAAAGGCAAGTGAACTGGCAGGACAAGAAAGGATTGGGTTGTTCCTTTACAAAAAATCATTTGTAATATAACCAAGTTACTTAGAATTATTCAAAATGTTACTTGTCCCTCAAATGTGAAGGCAGTTATAGAGCGTCCACTCAAGAATATAGAGAATTATCAAGTCAATACAAGAAATAAACATAGGTCACAAAGTGGAGCCGAAATTAAGTTAACTAACTGAAGTTCAGAAATTTCAGTTTCGTTGAATCTCAACTTTTTCCTCTAAATTATCAACCTCGTTCTCATTTTATATAAATCAATGTAACTAAATACTTTATGTACCTTCCCCATATCACCAAATATAATGACACGCTGTAATGATTCTTCTCCAGGATGCGGTGATGACTTGAATGAATAGCTCTTGCTCCAAATATATGAGCCACTAAACAAGCGATGACCCAGTCTGTACGTGTACCTGTTGAAACCAACGTGACAATCCTTATTGTGCATGAGCAGGATTTTAATAATGGTACAGACCAATAGCTTCAATCATTGATACATACACAGTGTTCGGCCATAAGTTTTGTAGGAAACTCGTATGAAAGAAACCAGGATCACGCCAACCAACAGTTCGTGCAGGAGCACCTAATAAATAAAAAATGCCATAATGTAACTAGTCAAAATTTTGAAATCAATGTTTCAGTCAAAATTAAAGAGTAATCATAAGATGGTTTGTAGAGCAATTATGTTAAGACTAGAATCGAAGAAAGTCATCAATTCACTCTGAAAGAAGCCTTAACTACCTTTCTAAAAGAATTGTAATTCATGTGGATGGAATTGACAACTCATTTCCATGGACACCAAGATGAGGGGAAAAAAAATTAAAGATTCAACCATAAGGCATAGTCTCTGTTTTTAAATAAATTGCAGAACAAAAGCAGTAAAACTTTAACAAGGCAGAAAAAAAAAAACCTAGAGTGGCCAAGAGCAAGGCAGTCATCTGATTGGTCGATGTAAACTAATTCTCTAATAAATTTTTGGTTAATTGCCATTGTTTGGTATTAAAAATCAACTAGATTCAAATTGTAAGTGAATGGTAAATGCACACACACACACACACAAGTTATTAGTTGAACCGTTTTGAAGCAGTATTCCAATTAAGGTTAAGAAAAGGTCTAAAAAGTTTAAACTGACAGCTTGTATTTTTTGTTTAAAGATAATATTAAGTCGTTAACTTTGAAGATGCAGTCTAGTTGATGAGTTGCACGAATTAATCATACCACACATGCTCTTCCTACTAAATGTCAGCGTCCCAGCAGGGGATCTAGTCTGTGTCTCTCCTTCTAAACCCCATTCAACAAAGGGAATAGCTTCACTTATATTGTACCCACTGGTCCAGGTTACTGTCATCTGCAAAAAAACAAAAGTATACCATTGTTCTGCCGATGAGCTACTTAAATCTTGCTAACAACTATAGAATATGTACTTTTCTCACGTATGTCAGCTGCAAGTACGAGTATCGGTTTTGAAGACATTTACTGACATAAAGTTAACAATGAGTATCCAGTTTTCTTAATAGTTTCAATAATAACTAGAGGAGCATGGTTATGTGGATAGAAGGGAAATCACATTAGGATAGGAAGTTCTCGAACTGTGGGCCACTTATCAAAAATTCTCCATGATAAAATTAAAGGAAATATAAGGATATCGATCAACTTACTTCATTCCATAGTTTCCCATGTGCAAGGCGAGGAAACAATGGTGCTTTAGGATTCTTAAATGAAAGTGGATTTGAAACAGCAATAAGTTTGGGCTGCATATTCAATTACTCCACATAGTTTAGACTAGCAGATAAAGTCAACATATAAACATATAATCATCGTTACATTGGACAAGAAATGAAGTCAAAACAAATTAAGACTAAATTATTTTTTAAATACAGGAAGCAAGGAGAGAGAACAAACATTTGAAAGACCTCCTGAAAATAAGGCAAATGAGAAGTCAGCACGCTGATTGATCAACTCGAATACCAAAGAAGCTTTTCCTGTCCTCACATAATTTCGATTTGAGTAGTTTGCATAATTGAACTGGAAAATGGATTGTTAGGGAAGAAATTCATGATCATTGTTTCATTTCAAGCATCATAAAGGTATATATTTGACATTTACGTAAAGGTCAATATTACAAGTTAAGTTCTGAATACCTTTATAGGGCTCGAGCAGATTAATGGACTTTGGACCCTTTTATTTGAACCAGGACAGGGCGATGAGCTGCCACGAAGAAACAGAGTTCTTTCAGTTTTGTTACTAGTATCACTTTCGCCATCACAGTGAGATCATGATCATTGGATAGAAACTAAACAAGCTAAAGAAGAATATTATAACCTTTCACATTTACTTAGAGCTATGCACATAACCAGATTTTTGTATACTAAATCATGGAATAAAGAGATGTCACACACTTAAACTTCGCAGGAGAAAACACTGCTATCCAATCATCTGCTGAGGGTTCAGGATGTAAAAACTTGACCGTCACCCAATCGGTATCCTCGCCCTGAAAGCATACAATTGAAACAGAATCAACAAATAAACAATAGACAAAATGACGGAATGAAAAATTAGATAAGTCAACACAGAAAGTAAGAAGCAAGTTACAAAGAATCAACAAATAGTCAAGCAAATTATATCCCTGATATTCTCGCACTAGAAATATAAAATTGAAACAGAATCAATAAACAAATATAGAATATCTCGGCAAAGTAACCATTTCCTAATGAGGAAGATGGAAAATCGGATGCGAATAGAAATGCTAGTCAGAACCGTATTTTCTAAACTCAGACATGCAAATAACTCATACACTCGAATTGAACTGTTTGAAGGCAGTAAAAATCAGCGAAGAAGGTAAGTTCTAAGAAGAATCTCATGAATAATCAACGAATATTTCCGGTATTCTCGCCCTGGAAACATTAAATTGAAACAGGATCAATAAATAAACAAAAATTTAATCAAGAAAGCTGAAATATCTCCGGAAAGCACAATTCAGCTAAAAGTGTACACAGTAATCACTCCGTATCGATGTAGATGAAAAAATAAATGAGAAGAGAAATATCGGTTAAGAAGATTTTCCGAAAAAAAATGCTAGTCAGAACCGTAATTTCTAAACTCAGACATGCAAATATCTCATACACTTAAATTGAACTGTTTGAAGTAATATAAAAATCAACGCAGAAGGTAAGATCTAAGAAGAATCTCATGAATAATCAACGAATATTTCCGATAATCTCGCCCTGGAAACATTAAACTGAAACAGGATCAATAAATAAACAAAAAATTAACCAAGAAAGCTGAAAGATATCCGAAAAGCACAATCCAGCTAATAGTGTACACAGTAATCACTCCGTATCGATGTAGATGAAAAATTAAATGAGAACAGAAATATCGGTTAAGAATATTTTCCAAATTCATAAATGCAAACTGAATCGAATAAAGTATAAATTAGTCAAAACGGCAAGTAAGAAGAACATTCAGAACTATCGATATAAGCAAAATCATACAGGAGTAAGCAATTGCATGATAAACAACAGAAAACGGCATGAGAAAAACAGCTGAGTAGAGATACTTACATTGAGGCCTAAAACAAGCGGCGAGGCTTTGATGTAGGCGTTGTTTCGGAGTGCAACAGTAGCCTTGTATACATCAATTTTGGAGAGTGGCTGGTGTTCATCGAGCCGAATCCGATTACTATGAGCGGGGAATCCGATACAGAGGAGAACGAGAGTGATGAATTGAATGTTTCGAATTCGGAGGCTCTCCGCCATGGCAGAAACTTCGAGGTTTCGAATTGAAGTTAGGCCGTCGGATTTAACAAGGCCGGGAAGGGGACCGAAGGAAGTGATGCCGATTGGATTCCTGAAAATCCTCCTAGTTTTTATAGTCGAATGTGCAAACGCGCTATAACAACTCGCGTCTCCGATTATTTCTCCAAAATATGAAATTTCGGAATAAATCAAAACAATATTTTCTTTATATGGACGGAATTAATAAAAATATTCAAAAATAATAATCATAAACTTTTCAGATTTCAATAATATCATTAATTTTTAAAAAGAGTTTAATACCCTATTTAAAAAATACTTTTAATTTTTAAAATATAAAACAAATATTATTAAATTTTAGAAAGTGAATTAATAGTTTAAAAATTTTTAAATTTTTAAAAAGTAATTTTTGAATTAATAGTCAAGATTAACTGAAAAACTACATTATATTAAAAAGATATAATTTTAATTGAGATAATACATGTCAAGATTTTGTTTGCATCTCTTTCAATTTATGGAAGGAGTTTTGTTTTTTAGTACAAAAGGGCGTACCGTAGATTTTAATTGAGATCATTCATAAATGTCAGGTAATTAACTTCTTACTTTTTCAAATTTGTCTCTATCTAAATATTTCAAACTTTAATAACTTATTTTATACTCAAAATATTTGTATACAAAACTTAGTTCTATCTTTTATATGTACATTTAAAGTTTGGTTATTTTAGTTTAATTAAAATCTTAGTATATAATTTTTCTGGCTTTTAAAACTTTTAACCAAACATTTAATTTTTAAATTTTAAATTATACAAAACACTCATTAAATATAAAAATAAAAGCTTCCATTTCTAGACGGTTAATTCAGTATACAAATTTTAAGGCTAAAAAACAAAATGTTATAATGGTTTGGTCCCCATGTGCAATTTCTGAAAGCCACCGTCAAAATAGCCTCGCCATTTTCGTCTCATCTGTCTCGTTTTCTATTCTTGACTCATGCCTTCCATTTTTAAATTAAAAGCTATAGATATATATTTCATTTCCAAATTAAAAAAATAACAATCGCATTTTAAATGGTTCAAATAGAGTTTGGATTTTAAGAACGTATATGCTATACTATTTATTGTTTTTTTTTTTTTAAATTATAATTTTAGAACTATTTTCTATGGGGGTGTTAAGATATTAAAAAAAACCATAATTGAAATTTATGAAGTGGATAAAAGTGTTGTACTACGCTGGAATATTTCCTGAATTTGTTTTAATCTAATTCATCATACAGACTAGACAAGAAGTCGGAGTAAATTAAGAATAATTTTGAAAACAAAATTAGATTAAAAATATAATAATTAGATTAAAAATATCCACGTCATCATTGGTCCCACAAACAAAGAGTCATGGAGGAGTTGAATATTCAACCTCGCATTAATTATAAACGAAAATTTGGAGCTTAGTCTGGTGCATTCCTAACATTTATATTGAATTTTAAATTTCGTATCTTCGCACTTACCAACATTAATGATAAATAAATAAAGAAGCTCATACGATCCAGTTACTAAAATAAAAGTTTGATGGCTATTCATTCATTTAAAAAGTTGTAAATTTTTAGCATATTCGTGGGCAAAGTAAAGTGGAATATTGCGAGAACAAATTTTAAAAAGAAATAAAAAGTGTGATTTATAAATGGAGAAAATGGGAACGTTGCACGAAGATCAAGATGGTTGAAATTTGAAAGGGAAACACGACCTAATATTCTATTCTATATTCCAATAGGACCAGTACCAATTTTAAAATTTCCAAGAATAAAACTAAATGCCGCATTTACTCAAAAATAATAATTATTATTATTCGGTTTAAACGGATTTCAACAATATTATCTATCTTTACATAATTTAATATATTTTAAAACACAGTTATTATTATATTCTCTTTTAATTATCTTAATGGCATTTTATTATTATATAATTTAATTAGCCCCTTAATTTCACGAATGAAAATTTAATATAAATGTAATTCACAACCATGTGCATGCGAATATTAGATAGAAAATCAAACAGCAAGTACAAAATAGTTATTATATAAAACTCTAGGTATTTAAAAAAATATCCCAACTGAAACTCTTCAGAGTCGGGACCAAAATAAGATTAAAAAAGCGGAATAAAGATTATTCTATTCGTTCATTTAACTTTAGCAATTTCTGGGAAAAAAAATAAACAATTAATTGTTTACTTCCCAATTAAATTCATTATAATTCTGCAGGATTGGAAAATTTCAAACTACGAAATATGCATGATTTAACACATGAAAATTTCCTTCAAAGTATCGATTTAAAAAAAAAAAAAAAAAAAACAAAAACCTTTTTCTCTCTTTTAAATAATTTGAAAACCTAAAAAGAAAATAAGGGAAAATAAAATTGTATACTAAAATTACATTTATATCCATAAATAAAACTCAAATTACAGCGCTGTTACGATTTTATACAGTACCCACGACGTTGGCGTCCTCAACCTCCTCTACAGCATTAAACATGACGCCGCCGGCGTTGTCAACCTCCGCATCCTGCCACCGCTGAACGGCTGTACACTCCTCTTTATGCCGGATTTTCCAGTCCTGAGATTGGCATCCTCTTGAACAGTAATTCACAGTGCCACAAATTGAACACCGTCGGAACTCGTGCGGCCGAGTCTCCGGACGACCGCATCCTCCGTGCGAGCAAAGTCTCAGCCCCACACGCCCAGCCACTCCGCGTTCTGATTCGAACCATTCTCTCAAAAACAGGTTCACCGGATGTGGCTCCGTCGCAGGAAAGTCACAGCCGAAATCGCTCAACAATGAACAACGCGTCGCCGTCAAATCCGGGAGGTTGCCGAACTGGTGGTGGCGCTGTTGCCGTACCCTCGAGGAGGAGAGTAGAACGGCAGCAAGCTCACGGGCGTTGGCTTGGATGAGAAGGCGGCGGCCTTCGTCTGAGTTCCGTCGCACACCGTAACCGTCTTGAAGGCAGTGGCCAAGTTCTCTAAGTGCGTCCACATGGCCGAGGAAAGCGGCTCGAGCACAGAGGGCTACACCTGCCTGGAGATCCTTGTCGCTCTTAGAGCCACCGCTGCCGTTGAATTGAATGACGGCGAGCGAGTATAGCGCCGGAGCGTGAGATTTAATCGCTGCTTTAGCCATTAAAGAAGCTCCACTCCCTCGATTTGTCAAGCAATAAAATCGGATCTACAGGGGGAAAAAACAGAGATATCATCATTCCCCATCCCCACTCCAAATACAGAGTATCAATTTCTTCAATATTTTTAAAACAAAGGAAGAAAAAGAACGAACCATTCCGAGCGTGTAACTCGCTTCCGAGTTACCGGCGTCAGCGCAGCGTTTGAGAAAACGGTGAGCGGAATCGCACCATTTTTCCATTCTAACTGCAAATGCCTTCGGTCCGGCTTTAGACAGAACCAAAGGATGAAGAACCAAGCGATTCAGCCTCTTGCATCTGCAAAATCATCCAAAAAGCGACGAAAAATTAACAAACGCCAACAAAATCGAAAGGGATAAAAAGAAAACAGAAACCAGAAAAGAGAAAGGAAAGAAGCATGTAATTACGTCAAGAGAAGGTTGAGAAGGTCGGAAGGGGAGGAGGCGGAGGAGGCGAGGCGGCAAAGGAGGTGTATAAGGAGATCGTCCGGCAAGACATCAAAGAGATCGGATTCTGCGGCGAAATTGCGGCATGTTCTTGGCCTCTTGGCAGAACTCATGTTGCAGTGTTTGGTCCGGTTACATGCGTTGAGAGTAGAGTTTATGGAGTGTGGTACGGCGGTGCGCGGCGGTGTTTTGTATGCCTCCGGTACGGGAAATCGGAAATGGTAACCGTTCGGGTTCCTCTTTTTCACAATTCTTTTTTGTGTGCGTTCGGTAAAGACGAATTCCAACGGGGGGCGGTTTTTATATACACACCCAATCCACCATTTCATTGCCTTGCGGGTGGGACCTCCACTTCTTATCTCAAAACAATATATTTATTCGTTTCTCTTTTAAATTTGAAACGTACAAACCTGCACTGCGCTTTTTTCGTTTTTTTTTTTTTTTTTTTTTTTTTTTTAAGGTGAAATCTGTCAGTTTGATTTTCGAAAAATAAAAAAGAAAAAATTAAATTATTTTGTGATCAAATCAGGCATTAGGCGATACAACTCTCAATTATGTTAACAAATTTTAATTATGACCTTAATTGAAAAGTTTTTTAAATTTAATTTTGTTTAAAAATATATATTATTAGAGAACTTTTCTCCATTAAAAAAAATGAACGATTAATAGAGGCAACTAGTCTCAACAACTTAGTCAAACCTTGCACCTTTTTTTAAATATTTTACCCACCAAAATAACTTATTTTTCTCACATCTCTTAATTCAATCCTAATCCTTAGTGCGTTTCACACACTAAATCATATTTTTTAAGTCATAAGAATCAAATTATATCCAAAGTCTCATCATATAAATTAAATTTAAATATTTAAAATAATATGATCTAGCTAAAATTATAATTTAATTTTAAAAAAGCTAGAAGTATTTTCTTCCAATTTGTTCCATCTCCCATCTCCCAATAGTTGAAGTAAAAAAATAGTTTAATAATAAAAAAATACCATAAAATTTTGATATTTATTTTCAAAAAAGTCGTCCAAAGTTATTTAGGTTGAAGAACAAATCTAAATACATATGAAAAGTAAGTAAATTTAGAGATTAGAATTAGCTAAAAATATGATAAACCAAATAATAGGAAATTAGGAGAATAAAATTTTAAAAAATGAAGCTGGGAATAATATTGTTCACACTGCATCTTTATTTACTTTTTAAAAGCTTATTTATTAAAAAAAAAAATGATATTTATTGAGAAAATGAAGAGTTAAAGAAAATTGGTGGGCGAGGGCACCGACTTCTTCCAATCCATTTCTTCACAAATTTAGAAAACTACGTTACCTAATTATGGCGATTAGCATCACAATCCCCGCCTTTTAAGTAAATCCCGGATTTTATTCTATAATACCATACTCCTTTTATCCTCTCATTTTCTTTTATTTATTTGTTTATTTATATACTCTCATTATTTTATTTATTTATTCTATAATACCATACCCCTTTATCCTCTCATTTTCTTTTATTTATTTATTTATTTAT